CTATCAGCCGACCGGAGCAGCGCGGCCACATCCTTATCATGAGCAGGAATGATAGTAGGGCAACGATGAGGAGCACCGCAATGCCTACTAAGGCGACAGCTCCCGAAATGAATAATCAAATACTATTTTGAAAGTGTTTGAAAATAACTTACATTCCCGTCGGTTCCGCACAATCCATTCATTTATAGTAGGAACTCCTTTTTTCAGCTAAACTTTCCATACTATCAACCATCTAAATAGCAAATAAGAAAAGCAGTTGACGTTTTTGCATTGAAAAGGCTATTAAATATCTCGCTACAGCAAATGTATGCAACTACAACAACTACAAAAATCTTTATTGACCGTGTATTAACAACTAGAAAATTCATTAAGCGTTGATTAGCAATTTTTTAAAAATTGGGATAAGCTCAGCAGCGGGCTGAGCAGGGGCGGCACTGCAACAAGGAGCGGGAGAGGGGGCAGCTGGAGGGGCGGTGTCAGGATCAGGGGAGGGAGCAGGAGAGGCATCCCGATTGAACAATGCCGCATCGGCACGACTAAGGCCCTCCATGATGCTGACGAAGCGCTCCCAAAATATGCATGAGAGCGCCAGAAGCAGCACGATGAGTGAAGCAACTACCGCTGCTCCAGCCACAACAGACCAAAGATATCTGCAACAATCGAACCTACTTCAAAATCATATTTTCCTCGCGTGAACAGCCCCGTTAGGGGCATCGGATCTCATCAGGATAGAAAATTTTTTCATCCATTTTGTACTGAAACAATTTGAGTATTGTAAAGCACAGATGATGTAGAGGAAAACCACAAAAGACTGGAGGTGTGCTGGTTCTTTAGCACAAAAGGCAACAAATAACCAATTCTACGTGAGGGCACCCTAAGGGGAAAGGGGACTCACTTCCTCGCTTCTTTCTTCTATTCTCACTTCTTCTTCTTCTTCTTCGTCTATCTCTTCTTCTTTGCTCGCCGAGGGGGCCTCTGTCTTCTGTTGAATGGCCGAATACAGTACTAGAAATAAATAGCTCGTATTAGCACTCACACAGCAACGTCAAGTACGCACGGATCCAACCGTGGATGGCCAAGCAACGCCTCAAACTTGGGTAATTAAACCTTTAATGAAACACAACATAAACAACGAACAACGTATAGCCGCAGTGAGTAACACAACATTCAATAATGAGATCAATTATAAGTAATCAATGAGGTTACGTGAGGTTGACAAATTATGACCAAAGAGAATCATGATGAGCAACGGGTTATCAATCGAAAGAATAGGTGATAACAATGATCTATCAACCTAGAGGCAAAGTGCGAAATGATAGTCTATCAAAGTGAGGCAAACCGAGACACAATAGTTTGTCAAACACGAGGCAACAAGAGAAGACAATGATCTATCAAGACTGGGGCGAGATGAGAGGGCAATAGTATATCAAACGGAAGAAAGAAGAGACAATGATGTGCTAGAACAGAGACAAGAATAGACGGCGTCGATCCTCCATGGCGGCTCGTAGTAGAATGGCTTTGCTCCCGTGCCGCAATTTCTCGGGCGCGCGCCCTTTTCTATTGAGT